AAAATGGCGTTAGCTATGTTTAACTCAGGGTGAAGCTGGATCTTTCATTCCCCCATTTCCTTTAAACTTAGAATGGAATCTTCCATTCTCGGGCCTAGGAAGAGTCAACTTCTGTCTCTTGTTGTTTGAGCTGATGATATTGTTGGGTTAACATCAACGCTTGTATGACAGAGAGCCGGTCTTTTATGAACTGGGTTAGCCGGTTTAGAATACAAGGCCCGAATAACAAGATCAAGAGGATTATGATTAAGGGGCCCATGAGAGAGGAAACGAGGGTTGTAAACCAGGGGGCTCTATTGAACCATTTTTCGTACCAGCTCTGTCCCTCTGTAAAAAGTCTTTGTCTCTGACTAAGTCTTTCCCTAAGCTTGGCCATATTGTCTCTAACTACGCCTGTATGGTCAGCATAAAAACAACATTCTTCTTTTAGGGCTGCACATAATCCTCCTTCTTGTAGGAAGAGGATGTCTAGCCCCCTCCTGTTCTGTAAAACTACCTCTGACAGTGAGGTTAAGGATTTTTCTAGAGCACTTACTGACTCTTCTAAGGCCTGTAAGTCGGTATGCATAGCCTGCTGTAGTTGTTGGAATTGGGTAGTTGCTGTTAAAGCGGTGGCTCCGGTCCCAATTCCGGCGGCAATGCCTCCGACTGTCAGTCCCCCCAGCATTATTGCCAGAGTCAAAGACACAGGCTCCCTGCGATATCGAACTCTCTCCTCAAAGTGTCTGTAAACATAGTCAGGTTCATGATATACTATTTTAGGCCATAACTCAATGAGAACACAAAAGTCAGAACCAGCATTCCAACCTATAGCCGATATACAGGGGGTTAGGCCGGTATTGCATGCCCAAAAGGTACCATTTGGACCGGACAGGTAGTAATCTCCTGGGATTACATTGGTAGTAGAATTACAAAGTTGTTGATAAGCAGCAGGTATTGTTCCGACACAAAGTCCCTGCCCTGATACCTCAGACAGAGTTAGTTTATGTTGGGCAGAGGGGTAGCAGTTTACTGGAGGGCTAGTATAGTTAGAGAAATCACCCATTATGGCCAATCCTTCGTAATAGGGTGGAATTGAAACCAGGCATAACCAACATTCCTGGGTCCTGCCAGGATCAGAGTGATTCAGTATCTGAAAGGCTCCTGTCACTAGATTAAGGAGTCTGTCTCCTGACCCAGGCTTCCAAGGTTGCATGGTGGGGCCCACGGTGGTGGGTCCAGGGGAAGTAACAGAAGTATTTGGGGTTATTGGCCATAGGGGTAGAGGTCTTGGTTGAGAAGGCCTCTTCTGATCTGATATGACTAAGTTGGGGCCCACAGATTTGGTAGCCGGTAAAGTCTTTTGGAGCCTAATTTTAAAAGTGAGACCTATATCTTTTCGATCTTTATAAACCTTAAGGCCCCAACTGAAACCCTGGGAAGTCCAAATCTGTTGTTTGGCTTGCGGAGTAAATTGAATCAACAGGGGATTGCACCATCCTTTGGTTTTTCCCTGGGGTTTACATACCCCTGACTCAACTACCTGGAGGAACGTATTAAGGGGGGCAGACTCCCCCCAGCTTTCCCAGGTCTTTCTTTTTACCGTAATGTAGTCCCAGGAGGAGGAGGGTTTCCAATAAGTGTCCCCCGAAGTTTCACAGCCCCATGAAGCACAAAAATGTTGATCTGCCCATCCACATTTATGATTAAGAGTTCTATTTCTATGGGTGCCAGGGCATATATAAATTCCCCCTACCCCACTGCCAGGGGGACCCCGTAAAAGGGCCCTCCCAACTGAATTAACACAGCTTGGGTTGGTGGCCCGTCCTGGGGTGATTCGTTCAGGTGCTTGGCCCCCAGGAGGAGGCCAGAAGATATCGGAAACTGCCCAGTCGGTATCTGCTCCAAGGGCGAGGGCACAGAGATCCACTTCTAAATCTGGCCAATGGGGCTGGGCCCCAATAGAGGAGCTTGTCATAACTATATCTCCAGCCTGGTTTTCAATGACCCAAGTATAGTTGTAAATCTGATGTGGGGACGCATAGGCTATTTTTAGACTCAAAGTGAAACACAAGGTTATTAGGGTTCCCCACAAGTCAATCTTATCTTTAGTGGATTTTGAGTGCGGTGAAGTTTCCATCTGGCTTTCGAGTCCGGGTTGTCGAGCTGGTCCTCGGGGGCGGCGGCTTTGACGTGGGAGGCGTGGACCCAGGCGGCGATGCCGTCTACCTTTAGGGCTGTAGGTGTCGTCAGCAGTACAGTATAGGGCCCCTTCCAGCGCGGTTCCAAGTTCTTGACCTGATGTCGTCGCACCCAGACCACGTCCCCGATCTGAAATTGATGTGGTACCACAGGTTGGTTTAGTTGTTCTTGGTATGCAGCTGCCAGAGGCTTCCACACTTCTCGTTGTACTATTTGAAGCGCCTGCAGATGAGCCTGAAGGGAAGGAGAGTTAGCGAAGCCACCTATATCAGAATCTAGGAAATGAACAGCTGGGGGAGGGGCACCATAGAGGATTTCAAAGGGGGTAAGTCCATGAGGGCCAGGAGTATTTCGGGCCCGATATAGCGCCAAGGGAAGGAGGGTCACCCAGTCTCTCTCGCCAGTTGCAAGCGTTAATTTAGTTAAAGTCTCCTTAATTGTTCTATTCATACGCTCTACCTGTCCTGAGCTCTGGGGGCGGTATGCACAGTGTAATTTCCAATCGATCCCCAGTAATGTGGCCACCAACTTACTTACCCGGGAGACGAATGCAGGGCCATTGTCGGAGCCCAACGCCCGTGGCATACCGTACCTGGGGAAGATTTCTTCCAACAGCTTTTTGGTGACAACTTTTGCAGTTTCATGTTTGGTAGGGTAAGCCTCTACCCATCCGGAGAAAGTGTCCATGAACACCAGCAAATAGCGGTATCCATATAGTCCAGGCTTGACCTCTGTGAAGTCAATCTCCCAATGAGTCCCGGGTCGGTGCCCTCGCACTCTGACCCCGGAACCCACCTTGTTTTGTCCAGCATTAACTTGTGCACACGCGGTGCACCTCTCAGCAACTTGTTGTAAAATTTTGTCCTTTCCCAACAGATAGTGGGTGTCCTCCTCCCTTTCAAGGAGGGTTTTCATCTTTTTGTGACTCAGATGGGTTAGCTTATGAAGTTGGTCAATCAAATAATAAGTCATACGTTGGGGCCACACTGGTTTTCCTCTAAATATCCACTTTTGAGTTTCAGGCAGGTAGGTGGCCCCCATTTCTTTGAGTAAGTTTTGGTCTTCCTGGCTATATTGAAGAATAGACCCTCGCTTTACTTTCTTTATTGTCAGGGTCTGAGAGATTGTAAAGTCTTTTTGTTGTGCTATCTTTCTGGCAGCCTCATCTGCCAGACGGTTGCCTCGAGCCTCAGGGCTATTTCCCTTTTGGTGACCCAGACAGTGGATGATACTCAGCTTTAGAGGCAAAAATAATGCCTCAAGCAAGGCTAATATCTCAGTCTTGTTTTTAATCTCTTTTCCTTCTGAAGTTAATAGTCCCCTTCTCCGGTATATCTCTCCATGAATATGTGCAGTGGCAAAGGCATAGCGGCTATCGGTATAAACGTTGAGCTTCTTACCTTTTGCCATTCGGAGGGCCTGAGTCAGGGCGATGAGTTCGGCCCGTTGTGCCGAGGTGCCGGGTGGTAGAGCCTTAGCCCAAATTACCTCAGTCTCAGTGGTGATCGCAGCCCCTGCTCTTCGTTCTCCGTTGTCCAGAAAGCTACTCCCGTCGGTATACCAGGTGAAGTCAGCATCGGGCAGGGGCTGATCGGTTAGGTCAGGCCGAGTGCCGTGTACCTCTGCAAGTATCTGGAGACAGTCATGAGTTTCTGGACTCTCCGATAGGGGGAGTAATGATGCCGGGTTGAGGGCTACCACCGGACCAAAGTGTATGCGGTCAGTGTCCAGCAGTAGGGCCTGGTAGTGGGTCATACGGGTATTGGAAAGCCATCGACCCGGAGGTTGTTTAACCAGGGCTTCCACGGCATGAGGAGCCAGAACTGTTATTGGTTGTCCCATAGTTAGCTTACTAGAGTCCTTAGTTAGGAGAGCAATTGCTGCGACCATTCTCAAACAGGGAGGCCATCCTGCAGCCACCGGGTCAAGTTTCTTAGACAGGTAGGCAATTGGGCGCTTCCAGGGTCCCAGTTTTTGGGTCAAGACTCCTTTTGCATAGCCTTGTTTTTCATCAACGAATAGCTCAAAGGGCTTATTTAAGTCAGGAAGTCCCAATGCGGGGGAAGTTAATAAGGCCTTTTTGATAGCCGTAAAGGCTTCTTGTTGTTCATTTTCCCAGGTAAAGGGGGTACCTGGTTTTGTAAGTGAGTAGAGCGGTGCAGCCATCTCTGCGAACCCTGGGATCCAGATCCGACAAAACCCCGCCGTCCCCAGGAACTCTCTCAACTGTCTTGGGCTCTTAGGCACTGGAATACTCAGGATTGTCTGTTTTCGTGCTTCTGTTAACCATCTTTGTCCATCCCTAATCTGGTAACCCAGGTACGTAACCTGCTTTTGACATATTTGGGCCTTTTTAGCCGAGGCCCGATATCCTAGAGTTCCCAGGGTGACTAGGAGGGCCTTTGTTCCTTTTCTACATTTTTCCTCAGTCTCTGCAGCCAGGAGGAGATCATCTACATATTGAAGTAGGATTAAGGCAGGGTTTTGAACCCTAAAGTCGGCCAGATCCCGGTGTAACGCTTCATCAAATAAGGTGGGGCTGTTTTTAAACCCCTGTGGGAGCCTAGTCCAGGTGAGTTGCCCCGATAGTCCCAACTCTGGGTCCCTCCACTCGAAGGCAAAAATGGGCTGGCTCTGTGGATGAAGCCTTAAACAAAAGAATGCATCCTTGAGGTCCAGGACCGTGTACCATACATAGGTTGGTGGTAATCCAGTCAGCAAATTATATGGGTTAGGGACTGTTGGGTGTATATCTTCTACCCGTTTGTTGACTTCTCTTAGATCTTGCACAGGGCGATAATCGCCCGTGCCAGGCTTTTTGACTGGAAGGAGGGGTGTATTCCAGGGAGACTGACAGGGGGTCAGAATTCCCTGGTCTAAGAGTCTTTTAATATGGGGCCGAATTCCTCGGTAGGCCTCTTGAGACATAGGGTATTGTTTGATGGATACTGGAGTTGTAGTTGCTTTGAGGGGTATAATTAGGGGTGGCTGTTGGGTGGCCAGCCCCATTCCTCCCGTTTCTGCCCAAGCAGATGGGAAGTTGTTTAACCAGTCAGATATGTTCTTGGCCAGAGGCCCCTCAAGCTCATATAACCGGTATTCATCTTCCAGGTTTAAGGTCAGTACATGTAACGGCTGCCCCTGTGGCCCCGTAATATGGGCTTTAGTCCCTTCAAAATGAATCTGTGCTCTGAGCTTGGTTAATAGGTCTCTCCCAAGCAACGGGTAAGGGCAATCAGGTACATGTAGGAAAGAATGAGTCACCTTACCGGTGGAGAGTAGTACTTTTCTTTCGGTTGTCCAGCGGCATCTTTTTCCTCCAGTAGCCCCCTGGACCCACGCAGACCTATCAGACAGGGGTCCTGGAGATGTGGTGAGTACCGAGTGTTGAGCTCCGGTATCCACCAGGAAGGTGACAGGTTGGCCCCCCCACGTTGAGGGTTATCCTGGGTTCAGGGGGGGGCTCCTGACCCTGACCCCCCTAATCTTCGAGGTTGAGCAGGGTGGTTTGTGGCCGGGGTTTACGTGGCCCCCTTGGTCTATTCGGGCAATTGCGGGCCCAGTGACCTCTTTCCTTACAGTAAGCACATTGGTCTTTTTCTAATGGGTGGCTCTGGCTTTTTCGATCTCCCAGGTCCTGTCTATTCTGTCTCTGACCTGTCACTACGGTGGCCAACAACTTACTGAATTCTCTATTTCTCTTACGTTCTCTCATATTTTCTCTCTCTTCTGCTTCTTTTCTTAGCCTCTCATCTCTTTCTTCCTGTGTTTCTCTCTTGTTAAAAATCCGCTCTGCCTCTTTTAACAAGTCCTGTATCGAACTTTCTCTTAAGTTTTCTAGTCTTTCTAACTTCTTTCTGATATCTGGGGCGGACTGCCAAATGAAAGACATGGCCACGTTGGTTGCCTGATCTGGGTTCTCTGGATCATATGGAGTGTACATACGATATGCCTCCTTAAGTCGTTCTAGGAAAGCAGTGGGGGATTCTTCTGGCTTTTGAGTCACTAACTTAACCTGGGCCAAATTGGTAGGGCGTCTAGCAGCCCCTCGGAGACCCGCTAAGAGCAACTGGCGATAAAGACGTAGGTGTTCCCTACCGCGCTCAGCGGAGAAATCCCAGTTAGGTCGCTCTAAGGGGACAGCAGCGTCTATTCTATCGGGCAACTGAGTAGGTAATCCATCATCTCCTGGAACATGTTTACGGGCTTCCAAGATGACTCGTTGTTTCTCCTCCGTAGTCAGCAACGTCTGGAGCAGCTGTTGGCAGTCATCCCAGGTGGGCTGATGAGTCACTAGAATGGACTCAATGAGAGCTGTTAACCTAGACGGGTCCTTTGAGAAAGGAGGGTTATTATTTTTCCAATTATATAAGTCAGAGGCAGAAAAGGGCCAGTATTGGAGTTGACGGTCAGGCCCCGTCCGCAACGGAAGAGCCTGGGAGGAAGAACCGGAAGGGACCTCCCGGCGCCCTCGTAACCGCCCTGCCACCGGAGACGAGGCGGGTTCTTCCGGTGACGAGGCGGGTTCTTCCGGTGACCCCTGCCCGGCAGCCCCCGCCTGTTGTTCAGGGGCGGGGGCTGGTCCCCGGTAAGGGGGTGGTTGTTCAGTTAGAAGGTCTAGAAGGGGGCCCTCATCTGCCGGCAGCACCGGAGATATCTTTTTACGTCCGGAGGTCTCCGCCGGTACCGCTTTTGTGAGGGCCGGGTAAAGGGCGGAGTTAACCGGGGTCGGAATCAGTGGAGGAGGAAGGGAGGGAGCGGACGGTGTAGGTTTTGGGCAAGGGGGAAGGAAAGGTTTTACCCATGATGGGGGATCTTTGACCAGAGATTCCCACGTGATGATATATGGGACTTGGTCAGGATGTCCATGGGGTCCAGAATCCATGACCTTTGCTTTCACCTGCAAAATAACTTCTAGGTTAAAGGTGCCATCTCGTGGCCAGCCCACGTTAAAGGTTGGCCACTCAGATGAACAAAAGGTGTCCCATTTTCCTTTTCGCACTTCCATTGAGAGATTGTGGGCGATGTCACGGACTTCCTTGAAGTGCTGCAAAGTTAAACTTTTGGGGGTAGAGACAGTTTGTCCCATATTTTCAGATAGAGAGAAAACACTTATCACACTTATTACCACAATTAAACAGACAGAACACAACACAAGCCGCGCGGCACGAGATCGGCGCAAAACCGAAAGTAAAAATTCAGATGGAGACTGCGGAGGAGGTCTTGTTCCTCCGTCCTCTAGATGGAGCCCGTAGCCTTCGAACAGGGGCGAGGCCCCGAAAAGTCCGAGTCGGCTCGTTCTTTCAAACAGATGGGGAGCCAAAAATTGGCTCCCGCTCAGATGAGAGTCGGTGGGACTCGAACCCACGACTAGTGGGACTCGAACCCACGACAGTAGACCCTCTCAGATGAGAGCCGGTGGGACTCGAACCCACTCAGACCCTCCAGATGGGAGTCAGCAGTGGGACTCGAACCCACTCAGACTCACTCAGACACCCTGAAACGTCTTCCAGGGATACGGAAAAGAAGTCCTTGGATTCGTCAACCCCTTCTTACTTTCCGTCTGATTCAGATGACTTGATCAAGTCTCAGGTTGCAAACAGAACAGACACAGAAGCACACAACAGACAAGACAGATACATACAACAGAAAAGACGGCTGGCCAGCTTACCTCCCGAAGGTGGGTCGTTGGTCCCTGGGTGGGGGGTCTCAGATCTCGCTGGGGCCTCCAAATGAAAGATCCCCGGAGGGTATCTTCCGTCAGAGAGACCCCCTCCCAA